ATTCAATGGTTTGGAGTGTTATTAACTATGGTGTTACAATATGGGGTACAAAGCATTTTCCGTGTATTGCTGCCGTACAAAACCAGGCAGTTGGTTTCTTTATGTGTGTGGGGCGATATACGCCCAATACGGCCGTAAATGGTGATATTGGTTGGACACCTGTTTAAGTAAAACAATGGAAATCTGTGCTAAATCAGTGATATAGACTTCGGAATTTTGATAGGGAACCTTTGAATAAAAGAGTCTTCGTATGGGCTGACAATCAAGCCTTTTTAAATTACAAAAACTGGAATTTTAAAATCAGAGACAAATTTAAAAAGTGTGGTATTTCAGAACGGTACGATATACATGATGAAAACATACAATTCTGCGAAATAAAAGACATTATCTGTCATTCTGTTTTAAATGACCATATTTCCAAATGGCATGAAGACTTAAACAGAGTTAACGCTGTGAGGGGAAACAGACAAAATAAACTACGAATTTACAGACAGTTTAAACAAACATTTGAGACTGAGTCATATCTTAAGGTGAACATGCCAACATTATACAAAAGTGCGTACGCAAGTAGCCCCAATCCGTATCGAGACCGGAAGATATGAGAATTTATGATTACAAGAACGGACTTGTTTTTGCTGTCCGAATTCCATTGAGAACGAAGAACATGTACTTTTATTTTGACCTTCTATATGATGATATTAGAGACAGCTGTTTTAATAATTTAAATGTTGATGGTTTTAATAATTTTTCTAGTTGAGATAAACTATCTGTGATTCTAGGTGGAGTAAGCAATGTTCGTTTGTGTGCCAAAACCTGCGGAGACAATTTAGATAGACGTCTTAGATTTTTATATACATGTAGATAATTTTGTTTTTCTTTTTATGGTTTTTAAGTTTTGAGTAGTTTGTTTCTAACGTGTAAGTAATTCTATATGAATTAGTCAATGTGTTATGTATTTGTTTGTTAACAGTGAGACGTTAAAATGAACTATTGAATAGAAAGACAATGTATACTATTGAATAGAAAGACAATGTATACTATTGAATAGAAAGACACTGTATACCATTGAATAGAAATACAATGTATAGTATTGAATAGAAAGACAATATATACTACTGAATAGAAAGACAATGTATACTATTTAATAGAAAGACAATGTATACTATTGAATAGAAAGACAATGTTTAGTATTGCATAGAAAGACAATATATACTATTGAATAGAAATACAATGTATAGTATTAAATAGAAAGACAATGTTTAGTATTGAATAGAAAGACAATGTATACCATTGAATAGAAAGACAATGTATACCATTGAATAGAAAGACAATTTATAGTATTGAATAGAGAGACACATTTTGTATTGAATAGAAAGACAGTTTTTAGGCACACAAAAATAAGACTTGCACCATTTCGGATTATCGTAAATTGCAAGCTCAAATTTTAAAAATAGATGCTGAAAGAGTATTCACACATCGACCAAGTCTTAAAATTCTAAGATGTCTAATTGAAATTAAAATATATTTACGTTTTCTTTCACGTTAGGGATGACAACACTTTTGGTCAGAAATAGGCGGATCCCTGATTTTTGAAAGGGGGCGTAATTCCATAAAACGGATTGTATACCGTTGAGCGAACCGTGACGAAAAAAAGTTGACGATTTTTATGCTAAAAAAATCATATTAATCGTGAAAAACATTATATGATTATTCAATTGGCGATCAAAAAGGGGGGTGGGTACGCTCTCTACGCCCCCAGATCCGCCACTGAAAGTAGAAATTTCAATTTAAAAATCAAGCTAATAATGCATGTTCAGCTGTATTGTATACCAGCTATGGATTATCATGTAAGAATTTAAAAGCCTTGATACATTTTGTTTTGCATTAAGCATTTGATATTTAATGAATTTCTCATGTTTTCAAGTACAGCTTTATATTACAGATGGTTGTGTAAGAAAGACTCAATATAATAAATATGATTAATGAAAACACGCCTGTACGTATAACATAACATGAAAAAGGGATTAAAGAAGATACGGATTAATTACATATATCAATTGACTACCATAACATGAAAAAGGGATTAAAGAAGATTCGGATTAATTATATATCAATTGACTTTAGTTTGTAAGGATGCAACATAACTATCTTATATTTGATTGCCATTAGTTCGAGAAAATAAAGTAGTTTTGAGCTTGCGTTCTGTGGCTGCTACGTTCTATTATTTACTACGGTATGATTACTTTATATACTACTTATTTTTATATAGCAGCATAATATTACCAACAGAACGTACCGAAGTTAGCGTTCAATATCAAAAGATTATCGTATGAATATTCGTAAATATCATCCCTCGTAGAATATACAAGTATTGTACTCACAAGCTCGTGCGATATAAATATCTAATCTGGACAATTTTCATGAAATACCCCTATAGTATTACATTGCTCATATTTATCGATAGAAAACATCAACCAGTCCATAAATCGCAAACGACCTGGATATCGGACGGATGATTGCAGTGTACTGTAAATGTCAACAGAGAATGTTATGAAAACGATTTCAAAATAGTGTTTCAGAAACAATGGCTTTAAATGATAAAACAATATATATATATAATCAAAATTATCTACTCTCCATGTAATTCAGAGCTAGTCGCTCGTCCTATATCTTTTCTGTTTTTGTCTACTGAAATTTTTGTGTATAGTTTGAAATAACTTTGTGTATTGAAATCAGATATCCAAATATTCCCGTTTAATTCGATCCCCTTTCTTCCTGTTTCTACAGTTCCTATACATAAATGATATTTTTTTCTTTAATTTAAACATATCTACTACTAAAATAACGAGGTCCAATTTGTTATCCGGCATGACGTAAAAACAACGAATCAAAGATTTCAACTTTATATTTAACTATCATAGGACAATGATGCTGTTTAAAAATTACACCATTCCAGGCCCTTATGTTTTCCACATAATTAATATCGCCAAAAATTAACAAGTTCCGGGTCGAATCCGATACCGATACCAATAGTATATATCACATGTAGTTTCCTGTTACCTTCTGTAAATCACTCCTCTATCAGGAGAACCTGCAATTCTTTCAGTAGTTGTTTTATATCTATGTTACACTATTGTACACTATTTAACAAGTCTATTTTCTTCCACCTCAATACCACTATTAACTTTGTTAATTAGTTAAAAAAAATAATTTGTTTGTAGTGAGAAAACAAAGACGGGTTCAAATAGAAAGATTATGGAAGCAGAGAAAACTGTGCACCTTCCAATCAGCATGACTTTATCAGATGCAATACGAATACTAACAATCCAGGATAAAAATAAGGCATAGGTACTTTAATTCAGTTACGGACTTTCAATGTCGCGGGTGTGTTCTTGTTGTATATACATTTTCCCATCTCGGACATAGAAATCATAACAAAAATTTGATATCTTAATATATGGTGCAAAAGTCTGATTGGCGATGCATCAATTCGTCACCAGAGTACTAGTTTAGTTATATCGAGCCTTAGCATGGATTATTGGTAACAGTAGTTTAACAATGTTAAAATAGAAATCAAGTTAAAAACAAACTGAGGAAATCGCATGACCTCCAAAAGATGAGAGACCGGAAGCGTCGACAGGGCATGCGTCGACAGGGCATGCGTCCTCGTCTCCTGTTATGGATGCACCAAAGAAAGAATTCAAGTTCATATAGAAAACACGGAAATTGCCGACCAACTCATGTCATGACCCAAACCCTTTAAACAAATTTGATCAAAAGAATCGACCTTTACTCCCTCAAATCCTTAATTTTTGCACTTAGAACAAATTATGACGTGACGTTCCAAGGTCTGGCCGTCAGCAATATCCATGTATTTTTGTTATCGACTCTATTATGACAACCTTAAGCCCCAGAAATTCCTTAAAACAAGTCAGACGACAGAGCAATCTGAGATGTACTGTTTTACTGTACGGTTTGATAAGAAGAGTTCTAACAAAGTAATCATCAGTAAAAGGCATTAAAATGACATTACCTTTAAATAAACTATATAGTCAAGCTTTTCGATTTGAAAATACTAGTAATCAAAACAACAATTAAATTCCAAGTCAAGTATGTGAAAGATGTTTCCATTCGTTTGATGTGTTTGAGCTATTGATTTTGAAATTTGATAAGGGACTTTCCGATTTGAATTTTCCTTGGAGTTCGGTATTTTTGTTATTTTACTTTTTGATATACATATTTAAACTATGCGAGCCGAAAGCACAGTTTTGATTAAGACGCAAAATGAACACAACAAGTTATATGAGTGTGTGATATTAGAATTGATCTCAAATGATGAGCATAATTCAATCAACAGGAACGTTAAAACAGATGATTGTGACCTAGTTTTGGCATGAAACTTTTAAACCTCCTTATACATCTCTACGTTTTTATGATCGCTGATCATACAACATCTCTCTCATTATCATAACCTTGATGAATAACTCCTCTCTAATTTAACCAACACAATCATTTTGTTCATCAATTTGGTTTTGTTTGATGTTAATTTGATTTTTTAGATATAAAAAAAATTATTTGGTTTCTGATTGAAACTCATTGTTTACACAACAGAATTGACAAAACGTTCTAAATCTAAAAATAAGACACTTGAATAAAGTTTTTTTATAGTAAGCAAGATTTACATATTGATACAATAAAAACCATGCAAAATTTTGTACACCTCTTAATGAAAAGACAAGGATTTTCTCCGCACCAAATTGGTCACATTTAAAACTCGTAATATTTCCAAACGATTACTAACTACAAGTAATTGTGAATAATTTCATTATTTCGGTATTTCACAGGAACTCAGTAACAGTGTTGCGTAATTTCCGTTAATACAATATATATTTTATAAAATCAAATGGCAATAGATGTTCATCAGCTGACATCAACATACAAAGACTGACACACAATCCATTAGAACGACTATATTTATCTAATAACCACAATTTACTTACCAGTGTACCAAAATCCACGGATTAATACAATAGGAAAGATCAGGAAATCATCTGAAATTAGATTAAGATAAATCAATTACTTTATTAAAAGCCTTCTTTTTCAGAAATTTCTACATTTAACAATGATGAATTATTTTACATCTATATAATTTTGCAACATAATTAACGCTTAAGTTATAAGCACATCTGTACTTTGTTAACCAGGGTCAAAACAGATTATTGGTGTGCAACATTTGGCCGTTTATATCATAAAACGTCAACTGTTGTTAAGCTAAGCAGGTCAAATCGGTACGTTCGTTATGCATATTGAATTTGATGTCAAACAATAATTTCAAAGTTTAAATCTTTTGATATGAGGGAATTTATCTTGGTAATTGATGCCCTGGGATGAATATCAGATATATACTGACAAGAAGACCACAAAAGATATCGAATCTCAGATTTTCAATAAATCCATGTCTGTCTAGAATATCGTTTCAACTTGGAGCGATATACTCCATATACAGGCGCTGCTTGATTGTTGATATAAATCATGAAAATTCACAATGGGAAAACTTAAATCATCCATTTTGTCGTAAAAAATTGTTCTCAATCGATCACCATTGACGATTTATAGACGTCTGGAAAGATATGAGGCAGACTTGATATTCCTTATTTAAAGTTCGATGGGATAGATGCGTTCAACAAAGTCATCAAATTTTGAATAAGTTAGTGCAAACAAATCATCTTTTCAGCCAAAACTGAAGTTAGCTTCTTTCCATTCTTCATAAGAAGCTGCTTTGGCTCTGTACAAAGTCTGTTTCATATGAATAAAACAATAATTCGACAAGAAGAGGGACATAGTTTGTTGCTGATAGCCGATTGTGTGTTGAAAAAAATAAGTTTTTCAAACGTAACAAATATGTTATCAATAAAAAAAAAACAAGAATCTTGAACCTTAACTTTCAACCTGTTTTGAATTAAGAATTATGAATATTACGTAAAAGATAGAAAATTCAAATATTGTTTTCTATTGCAAGATTAAAGGCTCGTAGAATGTATGCTCTTTAAGATATTTGGAAATATCCACATCTAATTCACTTCGCCTTATTAAGGTAGCTGCCCAAAAACTCTGGAGGCCGGTTTTAATTACTGATGAAATAGAGGTTTCGTAGAGCATGTGGGAGACCCATCAATATTATGTGTTTGTAAGGACAAATCGCGAAAATAAATCGCCACAAAGTCGGCTACGAAGGGCTAAACGCGAAATAAAGTATCCGCGAAAATAAGTTGGTTTACAAACTGACAACGTCATGGCAAAAAATATAAAGACAAATAATACAAATACAAATTTACACTGTCCCTCTGGTATCTTTCATCCCTTTTTTGTAGCTAGAGTATTCATTTCAGTTTTTAATTTTTAATTAAACGTGGAACAGGATCTGCTTCGCCTTCTGGACCAGCACCCGAGATCACCCCGGTTTTTGTTGGGGTTTGTGTTCCTCAGTCTTTTGTTTTTTCTATGTTATTTTTTTGTACTGTTGTCTGTTTGTCTTTGTCATTTTCTTTTAAGCCATTGCGTTGATAGTTTACTTTCGACTTATGAGTTTGAATGTCCCTTTGGTATCTTTCTCTTGTATCAATATGGAAGGTGTGGAAAGTTTGTCTTGTAAGAAATCACGTACAAACCCCTCAAAGCGTTACTACAGAGGGTCTAAACCGTGCCCGAGAAAGTTGTACTCTATCATGAGTTGATGATTTCATATCTGAATTTTGATGCATAGTTATACATCCAGCAGAGCCAAACCAATGCCACTCTTTCCGTTTTGAATTTTCCTTGGAGTTCGGTTTTTTTGTTATATTACTTTTCAATGATGGATTGGAAAAGTCCGGGCTATCGCTATTCTCTACCTCTGTACTACTCTTCATTAAAAGATTCATAGCCAGCTGTTAGTGGTTAAGCTGTTGAAGTACTAAGTGGCTTAGTCCGTTAGAGCGCTTACTTCGAACACAGAGGTTTCGGCTTCGGGTTCCATAGGTGATAATGTGATTTTCTAGTAAGAATTACGACCACCGGCTGCATTGGGCACCAAACTCAAAGACCATCGGTGGTTACAGATGACATATAGCCTGGGTAAGTGAAGACTCATTATGGTATGATGACTGTTGAGGTGGGGGAAGGGTGATTTGATTGCTACTCGTCACTGATAGATGATTAGCCAGCCGTAATCGATTGAACTATAAATTATACATCTTTGGCTCAGTCGTTTAAATCGCTTGCTTCGAACACAGATGTCCCGGGTTCGAATCCCAGAGGAGACAATGCGATTTTCTAGTGAGAATCATGCTCATTGACTACATTTGTAAACAATTTGGCTTAAAGTAGATAGAATGATATTCATGTCTCATTCGAAAAAGTGATATTACTTTGAAACACAAATTCAGTAAACAAAGTTTCTTCTGTGAAAAACAGCAAACAATGAAAGAGCAGTCAGAATCAGAATGTTAACTATGAGAGAGAGAGAGAGAGAGAGAGAGAGAGAGAGAGAGAGAGAGAGAGAGAGAGATATTACCTTCTGGACTTGGAGCGTACACGTTGACCTTTATACTCCACATTTTTCTTTCAAACGTAATCCAGAGACATCTAACGAGTAACGTTTCTATCCTATTTATAACACTTGTTTTAAAAATCTGCAAAAATTAAAAACTAATTCTTAAAGGTTAGTAGTCTCAATTTATAACTTTTAACAATATATTTGAATTGTCATTATTGGTACTAATTTTCATTTTATATTTAGAATATAACAAAGTGCTCTCGACCAATGAAATTGTAGGATTTTGTGTTTCTTAATTGTGAAGAATGAATGAAATCATGTTCTTAGTAAGGGATTATCCTATTGTTTAGGCCTACTTACAGTTCAAAACAAAGAGTTGATCTCTTTGGCTAACTCGGCTGTGAATTTTTATGTGCTGGTTTATGTTGTTTTATGTATCCGTTTTTATTCTGTAGTTAGTCACCACTTCGGTGTTATCATGTATATCTATTATATAGTCATTTTTATAAATTTACCGTTTGCAAAAGTATGAATTATTCTAAATACTAAGGATTTTCTTATCCCAGACATATAACCTTAGCCGTATTTGGCACAACTTTTTGGAACTTTTGGTCCTCAATGCTCTTCAACTTTGTACTTGTTTTGGCTTTCGTACTTTTTTTATCTGAGCGTCACTGGTTAGTCTTGTGTGGACGAAACGCGCGTCTTGCGTATTAAATTTTAAACCTGGTACATTTTGTTAGCTATTATTCGTATGTTTTTCTGTCCTTTATGTTCTCCCATTTATTTGTATTGTAGTCCTGTCATGTAATGTTGTCATTTTAATGTTATATTTAACATTGCCATAAAAGCGGGAGGTTTGGCTAGCCACAAAACCAGGTTCAACCAACCATTTTTTTCTTAAAATGTCCTGTACCAAGTCAGGAAAATGGCCATTGTTATATTATATTTCGTTTCTGTGTGTTACATTTTAATGTTGTGTTTCTGTTGTGTCGTAGTTCTCCTCTTATATTTGATGTGTTTCCCTCAGTTTAAATTTGTAACCCGGATTTGTTTTTTTCTCAATCGATTTATGAATTTCGAACAGCGGTATACTACTGTTGCCTTCATTTCTATAAATGAGTTACAAATGGCCCGAAGCTCATTTATCAGCTTGAAAGAATTTGTGATTAAAATTGACTAAAAGTTGAATTTTGAAACAAACAAAAAAATCAAAATTAGATGAAGTTTACTGGTGCAGCAACATTGGTACCATTAACGTTATTATGAGAATATTTATAACTTCAAATTACTAAAAAAAAAAAACAATATCAAAGCAATGAAATGCAAAAAAAAGTTAAATAAAACCTAAATCTTAAGCGTCTACCCTTTCAAAAACTCAGATTACTGGATCCGCAGTTGGTGAGAATAGTAATTTCCAATATTCTGATAAAATTCTTAAAAAAAGGAATTCAGTTTAACTTTTGAATATATTTTAAACTATTTTAAAGGCACTGTATTTGAACGTTTCTTTGACATAATGAAGTAGTATTTGATGTAAAGGACTGGACTAAAATATTGGCTGTAAAATAAAATTTATTTGTAACTCAAATTTTGAATTTATTGATTTGAACTGGAAATACACAAAAAGATAATTCCTCGCTAATTAGTTATCAAAGGTACTAGGATTATAATTTAAATCGCCAGACGCGCGTTTCGTCTACATAAGACTCATCAGTGACGCTCAGATCAAAATAGTTATAAAGCCAAACAAGTACAAAGTTGAAGAGCATTGAGGACCCAAAATTCCAAAAAGTTGTGCCAAATACGGCTAAGGTAATATATTCCTGGGATAAGAAAATCCTAAGTTTTTCGAAAAATTCAAAGTTTTGTAACAGGAAATTTATAAAAACGATCATATAATTGATATTCATGTCAACACCGAAGTGCTGACTACTGGGCTGGTGATACCCTCGAGGACGAAACGTCCACCAGCAAAATATTACATGATTTACATTCATACTCACAATCAGGAAACATTTCTTACCATTTCATTGTACTGTTGTGTCATCTAATGTCTAAAACACAATCTATTATATCTTCCAAAATTATAAGAAAGACCTTACATCACTTAAACTAATCCATAAATGAAATAATGCCTTAAAAGGAAGTCATGCATTAATTAAAACATTGCACTGACAATGCAACTAATTCTTAAATACAACCAATCAAGAGATCATTTAAGCCTTGAGTACTTTACAAATCCAGAAAGGGATTATCATTCTCTTGCATATACTTAGAATATAGCAATGTGCTCTCGACCAATGAAATTGTAGGATTTGATGTCTCTTAATTGTGAAGAATGGATATAAATCATGTTCTTAATAAGATATTACCCTATTATTCGGGTCTATTTACAGTTCAAAACAAAGAGTTTCTATAAATGAGTTACAACTGCCCCGAAGCACATTTATCAGATTGAAAGGATTTATCACACAGTGATTGAAACTGACTGAAAGTTGAATTGTGAAACAAACAAAAAATCTAAATAAGTTAAGTTTACTGATGCGGTAATACTGGTACTGTGAATGTAATTATGAAAATATCAATAGCTTCAAATTACAAAAAAAATAAACAATATCATAAGCAATGCAAAAAAAAAGAAGTTTTGAAATAAAAAAAAACCCTAAATCTTTAGCTTTCCAAAACTTTGACTATTGGATCAGCGATTGGGAAGATTAGGTATTTCCAATATTCCGATAAAATAATAAAAAAAAAAAAAAAAAAAAAAAAACAGGAATTTAATTTAAGTTTTGAACATATTTAAAATTTTTAAAAGCATTTTATTTGACCATTTCCCTGAAATAATTAAATAGTATAGCATGTAAAAAGCCGAGTGAAATAAAATTTAGCTGTAACTCAAATGTATTAATTGATTTAAACTTTAAAAGAAAAAGGATAATTCCTCACTAAAATATTACATACATGATTTACATTCATATTCACAATCAGGAAACATACAATGAATACCTTTTCTTTGTAATGTTGTGTAACCAAAAGGCAAATAACTCATTTTTTTTTTTAGTATTTCCCAAATAATAAGAGAGTCCTTACATGGCTAAAACTAATCCATACATGAAATGCCGAAAAAGGAAGTCATGCATCAATTATAAACATTGCACTGACAATGAAACTAATTCTTGAATACCACCAATCAAGAGATCATTTAAGCCTTGAGCACTTTGTAATATTCTAAGTTTGTAAGAGAATGATAATCCCTTACTTCATGATAAGTTTTCGCTAACGCTCTTACTTATCTCATCACTTGGCGTTCATCGTCCGTTACCTTTTACAAGAATCTTCCCCCCTGAAACTACTGCGCCAATTGGTACCCAACGTGGCCACAATCATTACTGGAGTAACTAGTTTCAAAAAATTGTCCGCTTACTGTGGATCCATTATTAATCGTTGAATACCAATTTTCGTGGATTTCATGGATACAGGTGAACCACAAATTTAATTTTCAACGAATTACAAATTGTCCATAAGGTTGTATGCAGACTGATTACAGTAGTTGTCGTCTGTTTATGTAGTTCATACGTGTTTCTCGTTTCTCGTTTTTATATAGATTAGACCGTTGGTTTTTCCGTTTGAATGGTTTTACACTAGTAATTTTTTGGGGCCCTTTATAGCTTGCTGTTCGGTGTGAGCCAATGCTCCGTGTTGAAGGCCGTACCTTGACCTATAATGGTTTACTTTTATAAATTGTAACTTGGATGGAGAGTTGTCTCATTGGCACTCATACCACATCTTCCTATATCTATTTGGCAAAATCACGAAATCAAAAATACACGAAAATGTCTCATGGCTCCTATAGAGCAAGTTTTGTGTAAGGAGCACACCATTGCGTAAACATGTATGAGTGAATCATGCATTACAACTCATCACTTGATTTGTCAAGCAGGCCGTGGTTTTTTGCTGTTGTTGTAATTGTTAAACATTTTGTTATTTGGGTGTTTTTTTACTGACTATACGGTATAGGTTTTGCTCAAAGTTGAAGGCTATGTACGGTGGATTATAACTGTCTAATTCCATGTTATTTGGACACTGTTGGATATTTGTCACATTGGCAGTATCATTACATGTCCTTATCTTATAAAAACAAAAAAGTCGTTTACTATGTAAATAAACAATTATACTGGATGAAACATATGCCTTAGAATGCATAGTTATGCGTTTCCGAAAAGGTAGTATACCCTACCTGTTAAACCTTAATTGAGTGTTTTATTCTTAGGTTAATGCCCCCTGTTAGGGATGGTTGTCTATTATAGTTGACTATGCGGTATTGGTTTTGCTCATAGTTCACGATCGTACGATGAATCATAAAGGCTTAAATTGCATTATTTTGACTCTATTAAAACAGTTGTATCATTGGAAATCATACTAAATCTCCTAATGATATAAGATAAAAATTGTTTCTTATTGTATAAGCAAAAAAGTGTATTGTTAAGAATATAAGTATTCTAAGTTATGCGTATCCGTAAAAAGATAGTAAACAGCCACATTCGTGTGTGCCTTCCAAAGAATGGAGCTTGTATTCCAGTAATTGTGGTTGGTTACTGTCTGTTTTTCGTGTATTGCTTTGGTATAACATTCATGAAAGATACCAGGGTTATAAATCAGGCCGTTAATTTTCTGTTTTGAATTGTTTTACGTATGGTGACTATCACATTTTTATACTAAGAAATACGCATGTCAAAAGAATCTCACAACTGGAATAACTAGTCTGTAGAGACTGTGCACGATATATACCTATATAGATATAAGAAGATGTGGTATGAGTGCCAATGAGACAACTCTCCATCCAAGTCAAAATTTATAAAAGTAAACCATTATAGTATAGGGCCATTATCCGTCATTCATCAAGGGAAATAAAATTACACAGAAGGTTTGAAGAAGGTGAAAATAGTGCCTTAGTAAAAAAAATCAAGTACAATAAAGTGCAATAATTTTGAATTAAGATGATTAATAGATATCTGCAATTTAAAGTAAGTTTAAGTCTCTCAGATATTTTATGCATTTACGAAATTTCAGGATTGCTCTTTTTCATTTATCAGATGGTAGGAAATCAAAGTTTCTGAATAATATTGGTGAGTTGAAAAACTTATGCACACGCAAGAACAACGTCGATTTTGATAAATAATCGTTGTTTAAAAAGACGGTGGTAGTGGTTGCCCTTGCGTGCCTGAGATATCTGCCAAACAAACTGCTACTGAATACCGCCGTATGTATTCAATATATAGAAAACTCTTTAAAGCTGTTTTCTGCAAATTGATCGTTTGTGCAGTCACATCACAACGTTTTAAATATCTGTTTTTGTTTTGTTTCTATAATAGCCTATATGAAGTAAAGGAAAATCCTTGGTTCATGGTAAGCATTTCAGTGTATAATATAATGCTACTGTTGAATCATTATCTTCAACAGAAAACTACTGAGATTACATAAAATAAAAAAGCCCTTACCGTTAGGTTTCTATCTGTTAAGTGACGATATTCAACTCTATTCTGTAGTGCACAATCGTCAATACTGTACTCAAATGTAAAGTCTTCTTTCGCTAAATAGATTGTTGCTATGTTTGTTACTTCGATTTGGCTAATGTAGACAGGACCGGGACCAAAGTCTGGAACCAAATCAATCTGTAAATAAATGGATAAACATGAAAAATAAATACTGATTGTTTGGTTTAGTTATAATCTAAACAATTGGCACCAACCTGGCTATCAGAATCTTAACACATGGTGTTTGGCTTACAATATTTTCCAAAGCTTGTTGTTTCATGTCGTGAATAAAAGGATGTATGGAGTACGTCAATGACAAGACAAAGTTTTTAGCATTTGTAATATTATCATGAGTATAAGCTGGTACCAGTTTGATTGCACAAGATGAGCTTTTTGATAAATAATGTTTATACTCTAGAACAGAGATTTTTGATACCAATTTGAAAATATTCATAAATCCAAAATTCAATACAAACGTTGAAGTGCTAATATTATTTCAAAAGACCAAACTTACCTCAACCGTGGTCACTCCGGTATATTGAAATGTTTTAATCAAAACAGTTTGATATGGTCCAGCATTTTGGTTTTCTGAAACAAGATGTTCACACAGTATTGGAAAAAAAATAATCAAATGATTTAGTTATCAAGGCGCATCATTGGTGTTCGAATAAAAAAAGTTAGACATCCAAAATCAAAATCAATTCAGGAGGTAAAGAACATTGAAAAACAAAAATAAAAAATCTATCTTCCCGATATGCCTCGAAGTAAAAACAAGACTTAGTATTTCGAAGGATGCACTATTGACACATATTCTTGTTTTTTTATGTTATTGTTCTTTTATAAATAATACAGGAAACATTTTTAAAAGTTCTTCACAACATAGAAAGTTGACCAAAATATCGAATTCCCTAGACAGTTCGGGTTACTGATTGATGCAATTGAGAACTGTTCCAGTGAAGTGGTAACCACAAGCCAAATAAACATTAACTGGACACTTGGTCTGATTGGATCAAAGCTGTTCGGTCATTCATTCAGTTGCACATCCGAAAACTACCGTACCATGAGCACTCGAATTTCTTACCTTGTAAGGAACAACGATAGAAAACGACTCTACATAAGTTTTCGTTCACTCTCATGAATTGGTTGACCAAAACGATATGTCTGTGTGTCATCTCACTAGCGCCTTGTTTTCGCGGTCTTAGATCTTTAAATACAATAAAAGTCCTCTGACCAGTATAATTACACGTAATGTCTATTTCCCGATTGTGTACATTTGCACTGTGGGTCGGTAGATGCATTCATATCAGATCAATTTTACCCTGTCGATGTAACCGATCTCGCTCCTTTTTGGAGTTCATGCGGTTCCCTCAGTTTTTATTTTTACTCTTCAATTGTATGTTCCGGATGGATTGATGAGAGGATTTAAACACCGGTAACGTACTATTGCCTTTATTTAGTTACTTGTCTTAATACAGAAAAAAACACTTTTCAAATAATTTGAAAATAATATTGAACAACTGAATATGCAGGAAATCGCATTTCACTGTTTATAAAACAAAATCTATAATCTACTTTCCATTGCATCCTCAAAGATTTGGTTAAGGAATCAACTGTACAGTTTTTATTTTCTATTGTAAAGTGAGGACAGTGGTGTCATCTCAAAGGATAACTTTAAGATTACTTTTCGTACAACTATGAAATAAATAACACGTTTTCAGAAGGTGTTTCGTGTGATATCATGTTTCATATATAATATAACTATTCATTGTCTCAAAGGTTATTTATACACGGCTCAGTAACAGATAGACTTCTAGGCTCCCGACTTGATACATACAGATAAATATGTTGCCAGTTCAAATATGTTATCATCGGACTATTGGTGTCAAATACAATAAACATCATTAGTGAAGCAGCTTCATGATATCATGAATTCGTTTTTGTTTTGCCGGATTTGTGTTGCTCAATATTTTTTTAATTCTGTAATATTATGTGAATTCTTGTTTATCTTTTGTTTTCTTTTGGTCAGATTGTTTTGTCTTTCCTTTTTCTACTTATTATTTTGACATGTTTTATTGTTTCTCCCTTATATAGTATATCTATATATTTAGGACATTTTATAATCCTGTTGTTATAAATGATGCGTTACTTATACATATTATAAGTGTTAATATCTTTTGAAAATAACTAACCACGTTTAATTGAAAATTCTTTAATATTCAAATCCAAAAATCCATCACTTTTTGTTACTGATTCTGTGATTGAAAGAAACACTTACTTCTAATAAAATAAAACTAAGCAGGCAAACGGACCAGAACGTTTTCAAGCACTAAACAGAACCAATGTCATACCTGATAAAACAGCAAACGGATCTGACGAATTCATTGGAATAACAAAGTAGGGATGCAAATTGCTATTATTTCTGATATTTCTGTCAGTGACGGCAAACCAGCATGGAGGCGTCGTTAATAAAGGACACAGGACAAACTGGTAACCAGGAATACTGAAAATAAGATTTAGTTACGTAGCAACGGTTCTCATTCTAAGTTATTTCTGCTGTTTATATTTTGGTACTTATATATATATATATATTATTTGTCAGTGCATTTTTATCTATTATAATACATAAAAGGAAAAATTTGGACAAAGTATTTCCAAATAATTTTACTCCAAATTGAAATCACTATTGGTGTCAGTTATAACATTAACGGTACAAATTTTACAACACATGATGCTCGAAGTCCAATTTTTGAAAAACCCTAATCCACGTACAGACGTTAAAGAGCTGATAGACAACAAGTAAAGCAAACCCCGGACAAGGAATAAAGTATGCATGAGGGGTATATTTCCTAGTTTAAATTGATTGCAAAAAGTAAAAACCCCAATGTTCCATTTATCGTGACATTATATATTTGCTTTTCGTATTCTTCGGTGTCGTCTATATTTAACATATATATAACATTAACGGGAGAGAAGAGAAGAGGTATTAAATTATAAGCATGGTACCTTTGATAACTATCTACGCAGTCGTTTGCATTATAAATCATTCAATTAGCCTTCAAACATTTGCATCCAGGGTCTTCAGTCAAAACCAACCAAAGCCAGTGATTATCATGTAATATCTTTTTTTAAATACAAATTATTGTTCAATGAATTTATTTTTATTACTTACTTGGTCCATTTCACGAAAGCCAAGTTCTTACGATAATTAGCTGAAATCGGACTTTATATATCATGAGTCAGCAAAATACTTACTTCCATTTTATACTGGTGTGACTAGATGACATAACCGGAGAAGAGGTACCAACTAGTCTCTCCGCTGTCATCCATGACTGAAAAACTTCTGATGAATTTTCTGTATTAAAAACCATCCAGAAATGTAAATCGCCAACACCATTAAACAGTAACAGGGCAACCTGATAAAACCAATGAAACCATGATTTCTACGAATCAACGACAATAATTTCCACACAATGAAATAGTTGCATTACTTAAGTTAAAATGCCCCGTAAGATTTGAAATCCAAAACCCTGTCAGGAATTATTCATAGTAAAAACATAACATTACTGCTTACGTTATAGGATCAAATCGTCCTAAATAGAAGCCATACTGATAGAATATAGAAAAGACTTTTTATTTGTACTATCAATGAGATATAATTATAAAACAAAAACTGACCCAGATGAGTAACAAAGAATGTGAGAACAAAATGTTGTTCAACAATATTGTCTCAAAAACCATTTCGTAGACGGATAATAATGCAAAATCTTTTTATCATGCAATGAATTTCATATATTCACACGTGCTATCAATTTACACCTGAATTAAATTCGTACTGTCAATATGATTATTTTACCTTATATGGAAACGTTATGTTTACGGTATCATTACTACTATAGCAGTATTAAAGTTAGATTCAGAGATATTTTTGTATCTGAACATATACTTCAGAGAAAATAAACCTTATCGCTATTTTGGAATCTGCGACACTTGACCCGAGAATCTGCGACACTTGAACTATTGACGCCATACAACCATCACTTTTCCTTCGTGGCGTCAAACATTTTCTATCATAACGTCAAAATTTTACGGGAACCTTTGTGATGTCCAGTAATGGCGGACAAACAGCGATAAGGTGTATAACTTCCAAATTAAAACATTCTGGTAGCTTCGTATGTGCTACCGTGAAAGTGTTTTGAAGCAATGTCGTCATTGTTGGGGTATCAATTACCTCATGTGGTGGCTCCAGAAACCAGTCATCCACTAGGGCACTTCTGAAATTCCCATGAACTAAAACATCATATAATGAGCTTAAATGTTTATCGCCAGTCGGATCATTGTCACTAAAACCAGACTCCCAGTAGTCGTTCATATTTGTATTTGTTTCTTCATTCAGCACCATCAAGTTATAAATTTTACTGACTTCTGAAATAAAATATTAAACGCAGTTTCTGTGGTCATAACATGCATACCATGGATCGGAAAGAGTGAATACAGATATATTAAGTGTGCCTGCTGCCAATATTCAAAATAACAATGTTTTCATTAATAACATCTTTATCAATGAAAATTGTACAAATCATAAAAAACATATAATAAAAAGATAAGTCCGTGTGTTTTCTTAAAAGATACAAGTATTTGAAACATTCGAATTTTGACGAGAAAAGTATGTCTTTTGATTTTCATATGGAATATATATGAGGAAAACGATTTTTTAACGCTATCAAAATATGCATGACTAAACCAAAAAAGGTTCTATCATTTTACCAGAAGTCTATTTTCTAGAATATTGAGCAACATTGGAGTTGTTGAGGATATTTACTGCAAGTTCAACCCTTTTAGACAAAAGAAAGAGCTTTTAATAAAGTATTGAAAATTGCTTTTGTATACCATCGAATGTAACCATATATGCATAGATGGCTGTCTCGTTGAAAGTTATACTGAATCTTTATACGGTATAGAATAAACTATAGTTTGTAAAACGTTTAGGTAATAATATTTTAAGCAGTTATTGAAATATTTAAAAATTCCTAATTTTTTCTACCCTAAAATAAAGATCCAGTTTTATGAAGAAAAAATGTTTTAAGAAAGCCTTTCATAAGGAAAATGATTTTGAAAGGCTCTCACCTGCCCTTTATATACATATTTAACTATGTCTTTCAAAAATGAAAATAACTGGACAAAACCTAAGGTAGTATAAATGTTTTACATTTAAAAAATCTTTTGAATATTCGTCATTTTTACAGCAATGAATTCTCAAAATGTTTGATAAATCGTCCCCTAACACAAATATAGAGTATTTCTTAATTGGTTCATATCAAAGATCTAAATGATAAAACAAAATAATATTTAAACATAACAAAAATTACCTGATACGGCGTCCGAATATTTCCACAATAAACACAAAAATATAATGTTCTGTTTCATTCCGAATGTGTAACAATATTTGCAGTATGCAGAAAATATATATAATATAATTCCATTATCCACAAGTCAAGCTCGTTTAATAATAATTTAATGATTTCGCCTCGCGTTATTTAGTTGGAACAGTTCTTTTTACTTTCCAAGTCTGTAACTGCAGCAGTAAAACTGCAATTGATCTGTAGAATAAAATCTATCAAATCTAGCAATTATGCAGCGCTATTATAACAATCGATGTTGCAACATTAGAATCGCATTTTAAACAGATTTCAGTCGAATGAAACATAACATAGAAATGTTAAATTCCTTGTCGGCATCAAAAACACATCAAATGGGAAATTCAAGAGATATGAGATTTTAATACATGACAAAATTCACTATACGCAATATTATTACAGTGTTTTATGATCAAACTGCAGTTGGAATTTTGTTACATTTAGATTAAAAGAATATTACATGATACCTACTCTCATTTGATGCACGATATGGACATTAATAAAAAATAATTCCCATTGTGGCTGCTCGCACAAAAGTATTTGATACTAGGCAGGGGTACTTATACATCCCTCGGATTTCAAATGTTTGGCATTGAGCGTTCCTGATGAAGGTAAATCCAGAAAAGCGCTTTGGACGCATGGAATTATTAAACGTATTGTTTTCAATTTTTTAATGACCCTCGTGAACTTGCACTCCACCATTTGTGACATCGACCAAAAACGTTGTAATACAAATTACATGGTATTAATTTGATGCATAATATGCGCATTTAGAAGGGAAGAATAATTAAGAAATTAAAAACAAAATTTTAGCGGTGTGAACTATTGATGAGAAAATTATAGATAAGAGCAAGAACCGGTAATTGCAATATTTCAATTGGATTAAATGTCCCGGACCGATTGAAGAAAAGCTCTGTCGTACCAAAAGTAAAACAACAAAAATACCGAACTCCAAGGAAATTCATATCAGAAAGTCCCTTATTAAATGGCAAAATCAAAAGCTCAAACACATCAAATGAATGGAAAACAACTGTCATATTCCTGACTTGGTACAGGCATTTCCTTATGTAGAAAATCTAACAAATCTAGCAATTATGAATTGAATTAAATCAATACACTCCGACTTGAATTGAATCAATACACTCCACAAAAAGGTATTTATTTTAACAAAAATACGGAACTCCAAGGTAAATTCAAAAAAAAGGAAGTCCATAAAAACTGACAAAATCAAACGTTAGATCGACTTTATCAACAAATGGAACGAATGGAAAACAGCTGTCATATTCCTAACTTAATACCGGCATATTCTGCACCATTTGTTGGTGGCAGAAAAGTAAGTGTGGTTTATTCATATGCACCAGTAACAATTATTATCATCATTAATGTAATAGGGTTTTTTTTGGTATTTGAATACAGTTTGAGTCACATTTCCTGCGTAAGGGGTTTTCTCAAAAATATTCATAATCATAAAAAATGTAAAATGTATATGAACTTTCTTAGTACTTTACCTGAAAATGTTTGTGTCTACGTCTGATATAAACTTACTACAACGGTGTATTTTCTTGCTTTTTTTAAAAAAATTATTTAAATTTGCTTTTATTTTTTTATTGAGGGTGCAAAAAACAGTTTGGACACGATAGTGTCTAGTATTCAGTACGGTGACTGACTACTTACCTCGAATTTGTTTATTTTCTCGTTAAATTGCGCACATTGTACGGAAAAAAAGTACGGAAAGATAAAATGCAAGATAAGTCACTTTTATCACCTTAATATTTGTATTTCTAGGCATGAACAGAAAGGTCATTTCAAAATGTAAGGACCCGGTTTTGTAAATGTTACAGGAGGACCTGCTTTTGTCCTTTTACAATTTTATGAAAAGAAACACGGATCTGAACATTTTTCGAGGACAGAAACTAAATGTATATATTTTTTTAAACAAACTTGTCGGGTTAAAGTTTTTTAAGTTGAATATTTTCGAAATAGGGAATGAAACACCAAATCTAAGATACATTTTAAGAATAAATATGATAATCCAATTCTCATGCATCCACATTCGTACATGCTTGTGCTTTCTCGTTTCTTCACAGATTCAAAGATTGTTTACGATATACTTTTTTGTTATTTAAGGAATGACTGTAATATTTTTTCTGTCTATGAAGAAATAACCTACAAAATGTGGTGCACACTGAATAACCCGCGTAGTACAGTTATTCCTTATAATTTAATTCTAAATTCCATTTTTAAGGTGTAAATCATGAAAAAACGTTGATGACTTCACGGTCACATGACAAAATTATATGTTTATGAGCTGATAGACAAAAACCTTTCAGCCAATCAGTAGAACCAAAATTAAATTATTTTAAAATGAATCGGAACAACGTCACTAAAATGTAAAAAAAATTCGTCGTGTGAATCTTATAGTGTTATGTGTCCCCTTTTGATAAAAATGGAGATAGCTATATATTTTATATCCAAGTACAATGGGCTATCTCGCTATACAACTTTAGTACGAGATTTTTACACCCTACGAGTTTATGTCAGAACTACACTATTCTATCTCCACACATCCATTGGTTTGTAATAGTTAGTTCAGAGAAAAATATTGTTAAAGTGTTGCATCTCCACTATTTTTCATGTGTTTTTGCTGTAAAGTCCAGAATTGGGGATATTACACAGTTTAAAAATCCATCTTCTATACTAGATACTATCGAGTGCAGACAGTTTAACCGGGGTAATTTCGACACTGTACTCCAGCTTCTTTGATCAAATTGAAATTATGAACAAAATAAGTAGCTTGTTTAAAAGACAAACGAGACGATTACAATTCTTAAATTGTAAATGTTCTCCACCATTGCAGCAATATATCTACGGAAGCCCATTTAAACCCTTCCTAAAATATAATTTGAATTCGAAATCTCGAATTTAAATCGCTATCACGAATTATATGATTCGTAATCACAGATCAAATTTGTGATAATGAATTTGTGGATTCGTTATCACAGATTTTTTAATTCGTAATTACGAATTAAATTCGTTATCACAATTTTTTTGTAATTTATTTTAACAAATTAAAATCGTTATAACGAATTGTATAATTCGCTATAACGGATTAAATTCGTTAAAACGGATTTGTTGAATACGTTATCACAGTTTTTTTTTGTAATTATTGGGTACAGATTAAATTGCGTTATCACAGATTTTATTTCATAATAACAGATTAAAATCGAAATCACGAATTGTATAATTCTTGATCACGGATTAAATTCGTGATTATGAACTTGTGGAATTAGTTATCACAGTTTTTTGTAATCCGTGATAACGAATTGTACAATTCGTGATTATGATTTTAACCTGTTATCATGAATTATAACAAGATGCCCAAAAAGAGCCGATGTCGCTCACCTTGGTATTTGTGCATTTTCGACATTGAAGACTAGAATAAAATTCATGACTGAGATCTTGTCTTGCTGATCATTTTTCAAGTTTTTCTTTATCTACAATGGTTTTGTGAAAGAGAGGGACGAAAGATACCAGAGGAACAGTCAAACTCATAGATCGAAAACAAACTGACAACGCCATGGCCAAAAACAAAAAGAAAAACAGACAAATAATAGTACAGATGACACAACATAGAAAACTAAAGACTAAGCCACACGAACCCCACCAAAAACTGGGGGTGATCTCAGGTGCTCCGGAAGGGTAAGCAGATCCTGCTCCACATGTGGCACCCGTGTTGCTTATGTTATTACAAATCCGGTAAATAGTCTAATTCGGTAGGTCACATTCGTGAAAAGGGAAGGGTATTGTAGTTACGACATAAGGAACATATCCGATATCATCTGTGAAACGGTTATTCCATAACGGTTAACCACTCGTCATGGCGTCCGTAAAATTTACGAAGGGATGATTTCAATTTCACCACATGCAAAACAGTTAATTCACCGGTCTAAAAAGAGTTTAAATAATGAATAAAAATGTATCGGTTAATTTAAGAATTATGAGGATCAAACTTTTTTTTCTAGAGATTATTTGTGTGTAAACTAGGTCGCTGGCTAACAAACTTAACACATCTGTTTGTGAGTTAACCCACCCTGTAAACACGACAACAACTTCTAGGTATAATGTTTTTGTGTTTATATTTATACAAAGAGAGGACGTCACTAATGTTGTTTCAGTTTGTGTCCGATCCCTTTTACTTATTTTGCAAATAAAATGCGTTAAAACTAAATTGATTGTGGCCAAGTTTGTTTCAATTTGGCAAAAGGTTTCAGGGAAGAAGATTTTTGTAAAAGTTAACGAACAACGATGGACGAAAAGTGAAGAGAAAGGCTCACTTTACCCTTTGGGTCAGGTGAGCTGAAAATCTGTGATAATGAATTTAATCCCAAATCCAAAAACTATGATAACTAATTCCACAAATTCGTTATCCCGAATATAATCCGTTATAACCAATTAAATTCGTTATCACAAATTACAAAAAATTGTGATAACGAACTTAATTCGTAATTAAGAATTACAAAAACTATGATATAATTCCACAAATTCGTTGTTACGAATTAAATCTGTGATACGAATTATACAATTTGTGATAACGAATTAAATACGTGATCTCGAATTATATTTTTAGAAGGTCCGAAATGGACTTCCGTAGATTTGGACTACTTTTTATACAACCGCTTACATTTTACCTGTCTGTGTTGTTGCAACTGTATAGGTGCAGACAGTTAATATTGAAAAGATCTTAATCATAAATTATAAATCTAATTCGACAAGTAATACATCGTATTCAAAACTAGAAGGTCATAGATGCATAAGCCCCGATCTCATCTAATGTAAAAAATACACAGTAGGTCACATTCTACACTTTTAACGTTTATTGTAATCTATATTTAGCTAAATACACAGGGACAATTATATGTACAGAATTCAATAATATATGACCAGTTTGGTGTGAAGCTCTTTCGAAGCCCGGTATGTATTTAATTTTTTTATATTGTATTGTCTAACTAAGTGTATAATGCGCTATACATTGGATATGCGTACATTTGCTAAAATAGTATAATTCTTCGATCTTTTATTTCCTTTCATTTCCTTTCATCTTCAGCGTAAAAACGTTTGTTGTGCTGTCGCGAATATCTGATAGACATATTTGACCTAAAATCGACACTTGACACGTG